CGTATTTCTTTTAAACAACACTTAGCAAACAATCACTGTGTGCCAGGCAATGAGCTCTTCATACTCTGAGATATGCAAATATAAAGTTTCTAAAAATTGTCCTTGTCCTTGAAGTTCTCACATGTAGTTTAGAAGTTTGATAAATAGTTACCATATTAACAGCTCTATAACAAGAGATTGTAAGAATGCTATAGAAACCTCTTCATTTTTGACTGAGAGGAAAAAGAAGTAAAACAAACTTTTTATGGGCAACATTAGCTGCAGTTTGGCTAAATGTCTCCCAAAGGCCCTGTGTTAAAGGTTTGGTGCGTAGGGTAGTGCTGTTGGGAGGCTCAAGGGTCACTGAGGCAAGCCCTTGAAAGGCATGGGGGACTCCAGCCCCTTCCTGTTCTTCTTTGTTTCTTGGCTCCTGGGGGAGGGTCTTTTTCCTGTCATATGCTCCTGCCATGATGTGCTGCCTCACCACAGGTCAAAACAATGAGGCCCATTGACCTCAGACTAAAACCTCCAGAGCTGTGAACCAAAGTAAACCTTTCTCTATTTTAATTTGATTACCTTAGTTGTTGCAGTAAGGGAAAGTGGACTAGCATGGCATTCCAAGCCATTCTGTAACAAGGAACATCCATTTGTTAGACAAAGGGATAAATGAAGGAGGAACATTATACCCGAAAGAGGAAATAGTATGAGAAAATATGCAAAGCCAAAGTGGCTGCTGTCTCTAATCAATAAAGCAATTTGGCAACACTAAGCTTTGGCTATAAAGGAAGAAGCTGGTGAGGAAGAAAGACATGTTGCTTTAACCTAACATATATATTATGATTAAAAAATTACACTTTGTGGTGGGAACTGCTATGGACTGCATTGTGTGTCCCCTTAAAATTTATATGTGAATGCCTCATTCCTCAATGTGACTGAATTTGGAAACAAAACATTTGGGAAGTTATTGAGGTTTAATTAGGGCATAAGGATGAGGCCCAAGTCCAATAAGATTGGTAGCTGTCATGGTTACTTTGCTCTCATTGCTGAGACAAAATACCTGACACTCAGAATTAAGAAAGGAAAGGTTTATTTGGCTCACAGTTTGTGGAAGTTTCAGTCCATACTCAGTCGGCCCCAAGGCGGGGTAGCACATGGCAGAGGGCAACAGTTCATGGTAGCGGAAGAAAGCAAAAACAGCCGGAGCAAAAGGGAGGAGTGTTGGCAAGCAGCTTCTTTCTCTCCCTTACATATGCAAACTCTACGACCAGGGCAGATGTAGCACTCACACCCGTAATCCTAGCATTAGATCATGGATCAATCATAAACTCTAAAAGTCCGCCCCATGACTGCATGAGGCTTTGAGGGGACATCCAGACACCAACTATAACAGTGGCTTTAAAAGGAGAGTGATGCCTTATACCCAGGAAAGGCTGAATGCATACATAATAAGAAGGTAGCTGTCTACAGTCCAAGAAGGAAAGCTTCACCAGAACCTGACCATACTAGCATCTAGATCTTGGACTGCTAGCCTCCAGAATAGTGAGAAAACACTTTCTATTGTTTGAGCCATCAATCTGTGGTATTTTTTTATGGCAGACCCAACCAAGATGGAGACCATCTACATTTTTAAGTGTGGGGATGATAATTTCAAACAGACATATGTAGTAGATACAGCCTAAATGGTAGAAGGGGTCTTATTAATCTGGAGACCACCCAATGAGGTGAGGATGTATTCATTCAGGTAGACATGATTGAAACCTGGTCTAGGATGAGGAATTTCAAATATTTGAACAGAAAGCACATTGCCAAGTTTATTGGAAACTGTTACATGTGTGTGTATGTGTGTAAAGTTTTGTATATACATAAACTTATATGACTTTGCATGTTATAACTTTTATATCTATGTATGTGGAGACATATAATTTTATTATGTGAGGATAGAAAGAACATAGTGTGTGATAAACAGAAAAGAGAAAGCAAACTTTGTCATTGAGGATGAAAGCTTACAGGGACTTGGAATGAGATGCAGCTGTTCCCTTGACTGCCATAACAATTTACTAATTTATGACACATGACTAGAGTGCATGGGGGTTGGGGCAATGGTGTGGGAGAGATGTGGAAAAGAATAATAGAGAAAAAGAATAAATGCAGTATAATTTCTCTTACTTTGAATACCACAAATGAGTCATATAAATGGAATTTCACTGTCTTCCAATATTTTCCACATAATTAGCCTATTCATACACATAAAAAGAGCATAGCATATTCTGAAATGATATGAGACCTGTTCCAAACCCTGAGGAGAGATGCTGAATCTTGCCTTCGGTGCCATCCCCAGAGCTTGGATGCAGGTCCTGGCCCATGCTCTCAGCCAGCAATGAGCAAGGCACTGGGGCAATGCCACCTCTTTTCATAACATTTCTCAGATCTTTTCTTCCCTGTAAAGTGTACACTCTTTAGGCCTTTGCTGAGAGAGATAATGCTGCTCCCGTGTGAATTGAATACCCAGTGCCCTGCATGCATGAGTGTGTCAAGGCTAAACAGGTCTATTGTTCTTAAACAGTACTGCCAGAGAATCGTATTCTTGTGCAGAATGATGCCAAAGAGATAAAAATATCTTTCATTTCTATAGTGCCATGCATCTTAAAGTGTGTTCCACATTTTGCAAACTATATATAGGCTCAATTCATTATCCAGCCCCATAAAATACAGCCAGAGCAATGGCAGGCACATGCCAGATGTTTGACAATGGCTTAATAACGGAATGAAGAATAAGTTAAATTGGATTCGAAAACAGGAGACGGGATGTGGGGCACTAGGTAAAGCTTTGCTGTTCATTCACTCCTGTGTCTTCTGCCTACCAGAGTATGAACTTGGGACACAGGTGAACTAGAGAAACACTTCCTACCCCATGGGACTCCCAGGGTAGAGGGATAGAAGATGCATGATTAGACACACTTTACAGTAAAATATGATCCACATGAAGATGGAGAAAGCGCCAAGGCCTTCATTGCCTTTAAATAAAGTCTTTTCCACATAGTCACTCTGGCATCCTCCTCCTCCTCCACTAATAAAAGGTTTGTATCCACTGCAGTGATAGAATGTATGTTGAAGAAAATGTATCCTGGAACCCAGAATCTAGGTGGGATGTGAGCGCAGTGCTGGGAAAAGTAAAGAATGGAAACACACAGGTTGAGTGAGTTGGGGAAAGACTGAAGGCATCTAGAGTAGAATGGAAATGAAACAGCACATTTCAAGGTTATAGCCTGTTTTCTTGGAGGTAGAAACTGTTCAAAGTATTCCGCCTTAAGCATGATGGTGTTGGAGAAATTCTTCCAAAGCTCTTCATGCTGAAAGCTGCAGCCTCTGAGAAATAGACAATAGGACTCAGGGGGTAAGAATTACCTCAAAGATCCACGGGCTCAAACCAGTCACTTTATAGATGAAGAAAGATGTGCTCAGGTTCATTAAATGTATGCAATGGTTAGCAAGGGCCAGGAGAGACTCAGGCCCAAAGGCTCACCCTGACCCCCTGATTTGGTCCCTGTCTTGGATGAACCTTGCTTTGAGGCGGATGCCTCTAAGATGCTAAATATCTGGTTCTTTCTGCCTTTTCCACCACAGTAGAGAGGCTAAAGAGTTAAAGTATTGTAATCTACCTACACCAGTGATGGCAAACGTATGGCACATGCGACCCAGCAGGTTGTTTGTTATTATTGGAAACCTTAAAAGGTTTGCTATCACTGAATATGAACAAAAAATCCCCATCCTGAGAAATGAGAAAGAAATAATTTGAAAGGCTGTGACTGTCCAGGTCAGATGGCTGCTACCCAGATAAGCCCTCTGAAGACCATTTGGTCCCTGGAATTGTAAATAGGTTAGTGCCCTTATTAACTTACACGGGAATTGAGAGTCAGGTTACCCTGAACTCCCAGCAGAAGCCTGTTCAAAAGGTGTTAAATCTCTGGGTAAGTTTTTAACCAGTACTGGCAGGATGTATGAAAAGCAAAAGGAGAATGTGGTTTATAATGTGTCTATGCAACAAATATTGCCAAGAGACATTAAGCAGGAAATTCTCTGCTGGTGATGACGGCCTGCCTCCCAGAAAAGCCACTCCCTGTCTTACCTTGGTAATGGTACACATGGACACAAAGATAGTGAAAGGAAGCCGGGTCTGGCACCCACAGAGGCAGAGGGTGAGTGACAGCCCAGACCGGGGCTCAAGGGTGGGGCCCTATAAGGCATCCCAGCCCTGCAGCTTCCTGCAAAGCCTCAGGCAAGCCCATCTAGAATGTCCCATCTAGAAAGGAAGGCAGGGATGGACGACCTCCACGGCAATTTCTGTCATTAAAATGCCAATAAGACATTTTATATTTTTTCCATTTGTGCACATTTCTATACCTCTCCCCAAGTAGAGGACCCACTTTCCAACCAGGCAAATTCATGTATTCATTCTACATGTCTTTAAGCACCCAAATGGACTTTTGCATAAACTAACAGAGTAATAAATGTTATTGGTTCTGGACTGACAGCCACGGAGAAGGTCTCTGAGAAGTGGGGATGAGCCAGGGTCTCGGGGTGTGTCTGACCACCAGCCTGCTCTGGGCACTGAACAACCGTGCTCCTAACTCCTGCGCAGGACCCACAACTTCGAGTCTCCTACGCCTTAGATTTCAGAAACCACGGGAGCGACGCTTGCAGCGCGGAGAACAGGACATGGACGCTGTCCCGGAGAGCCCTGGCTTTTTGCAAATTCTTGGCCAGTAAGCCGCAGAGATAATCCTTCATTCTCTGTGGGCTCCAACTTCAGCGGTGCTCTTCGAAATCCCAGTCCTGCTCGCTAAGTTGAGGCTGGAGCTGGGGGGACAGGGGGTACAGAGGACACATCACTTGGCACTGAAGTCCTGGACAGGGCCGTGGGGCCTGAGGAAGTCGACTTCACGGGTTGCAAGCCTGGAGAAGAAACACTGGAGAGGATGCCACCTGCTGGCGAGGGACCCTGGCTTGCACGGCGGGCGCTACGGAGACCTGGAGCACGGATGTGCAGAAAACCAGAATTTAGGAGGCTTTCCAAGTGGGTGGTTTTCCGCTGTCTCCTCGGGGCTGCCAGCTCCATCGGCTGCGCTGAGACACCCCGGAGCCCGCGCGCCACCCCGCAGGAGCCGAAGTTTCCAGCAGGTCGCCTTCCCTCGCAGCGCGCCAGGGTCTGAAGATTCTCCGTGCTTCTCCATCAGGTGGAGCCGCGCTCCGCACTGCCTCCCTCCTCCCTCCTCTCTCCTCCCTCCTCCCTCCTCGCGAGCGAACCGCGCGCAGGCCGCCTTGCAGCGCCAGGAGGTTAACCGAGCCCCGGGAGGAGGTGAGGCGACAGGCGGCCCGGGCGGAGGTGGCGGGGCCGCCGTCGGGGCTGGCGCCAGAGCGCGGCCGGCTGTGGGTCCTGCAGGTACCGCTCGCGTTCTCTGCCCCACGTGGTGGCCACCGAAGATTGCCATGGGTTTTCCGGCACTCAGGGTTGAAACGCCTCCCGCTGGGTCCTTTTAGAGTCGGGCAGCTCCTCACTTAATCCAAGCTTTTTCCTTTCCTGCCGGAGAGCGGAGGCTGCGGGGAGGGAGCGGAGGGAGCGGAGAAGGGAACAGGCCCAGCTGGCTCCAGGGGGTCCGGAACCATTTGGGGGACCTTGAGGCCAGTCTCAGAGATCAGCGGGAGATGGATACAACGTCCTTCCCACCTTAGACTCCTGCCCATGCCGCTCCAGCCCGTTCTCCTCTCTAGGATTGAGTGTGAGAGTGGTGCGCATAGCTGTATGCATGCCTGGTTGCCCTGGAGGGCACAGCTCTCTAGCTCTATGACCCTGGTTTGGTAACACTGTATTTCCTTCGGGCTGAATTAAACAAATCCGGGCTCCGGGCCATTTCGGAATTAACAGTCAAAATTAAATAACAGCTTAAAGGATAAATCTTTAGTTAAAGCATCAAACGTTGCTTGGGCAAGTACCATCTACATTCTAATATTAGTTTTAGTCACTGCAACACTTGGCCATAGGCGTGATACCCAGACCTGACATTTCCCCTTGCCCTGTAGATTTAGTGCAGAGCAACTCCTAATGCTTCACGCACTATCCATGCAGTATTTTCAGCCTTCGCGTTACTTGCTATATATTGTTTGAAATTCTTCTTCATTTGAGTACGGTACTGATTTGCCTCTCCCCTTTCACTGCACTGTCTGTAATACCAAGCTAATGGACCAAGGCTATGCTGACACGTTGCTTCTGTACCTTGTTTGTTCATTTAGCTGATGGGTTGCCTCTTTTGTGTTTTCTTACTTTCTCTTGCTCAGCATCCCCACCACCACCCCCAAGCCTGCTTACAAATTTCCCTTTGATATGTTTAACAGCCTCTAAGGGATGCAGTTAAATAAACTATTAAGTTAAGAATAGAAGAGTCAACAAAGCAGACACCTACTAATTTGTAGATCTTTAATGTCAACTACCAGGTGTCAGCTCCTACCAGCACACACACACTTTAGCCTGTGCCCCTGTTTCTTTCTTGCTCATAAATACCAAGGGGTGATTTTTAAAAGTGAACATTCACTTTCAAAGTCAGAGTTGGAATGAGCCCCGAAGTCAGCAAAGTACCCCCATCTGTGAAAGTGTTGGAGAAAACACAAGAGGTTCTGAAAAGACCTCCAGAAGGTCCAGGGACTGAGAAAGCAATGATTGATTTTATAATTGAATGTTGAGTGGCCCACACTGACAGCATCTTTCATTCCCACCCCCCACCCCTTCGCCCACTCCACCTAACAGTGCATATTTTATATGTTGCTTTGTAATACCTGATTAGTTTGTGTCTTGCGTGTACACTCTGCTTCCACTCTAGATTATGAGCTTCTGAAGGCATGCTCTGTGCTTACTATTTTATTTCTCCCCAATGGCCTGCTTATTCCAGGCACGCCTAAATGTCCATCAAGTAAATAGACCTAGATAAATTCATGTTGATATCCTGGAGGAAATAGAGTTTGATTTGAGTGTGCATTTCATGACAGGTAAAAGACCTGAAGGTTCTTAGGAGGCTGTTGCCTATGACCTTGGCCTCTCCTTCGCAATCAGACTCACAGCACCTTTTGGAGCAAAGGCACACGCAGAGTGATGAAGTGCTTTTTAGGGGAGAGGCTCCAAATGCAAAGACAGGCTGCTCCCTGTCCTTGTTAGGAAGTGCACAGACCAGGGTAATAATAATAAATGGGTGTGTGTCACAAACCTACTTGTTTCCCCTCTCGTTCCTGCATTTTGTTTTCCAGGAGCAGTGCAAAGCAAACTAATATCCAATTCAGGTTAGATTACCTACCCACCTAACAAAGTCTCAAAAATGCAAAGCATGCTTCTCTCTTCAACTCCCGAGCCTCCCGCTGCACACACTGGCCAAGTCCTTGCTGGGGAAAGATGCACCCCTCCCCTCCCCCTCCGCCTATAGGGCTCCTTTCAGCCCAGTCTCCAGCCCCTTGTGTAAAAGCAAGGCATGCACAGTCTAAGGCATGTGCACACATGTAGTCATCCATAACTTCTCTCTCGTTAGACAACATTACATCTTGTGGACAAAAAGTCACAGCTCCGCTCCGTGCTCACGATGCTTTTTGGCCAATAATGGTGACAAAAGCTGAATATCCCCCTGTTTAGTGAAAAGAAGGAGCGAACACAGCCTTTCCCCCACCCTCCGTTGTGCAAAGATCCCCTCTCTCCAAGTGTTTCCTCTTTAATGATGACCTGTTTCCCCTCCCCCGCCTCCCCCCGCCCCAGCTTCTGTGAAAGGAGCCCTTCTGTCGCTCGTCACTCGCTCGCTCGCTCGCTGTGGGAGGAGCCCGCCGGAGGGAGCCGTGTGCCCGGGATGCCGAGAGCCAGAGAATGGATCTGCTCCGAGCGGGGACACTGCTGAGGATCCCGGCTTCCCGACGCGGCTAAAAACATACGATTTGTCTCGGCTGGCTGCAGAGACCCGGAGGCACAAAGAGCCCGCAGCCACTCTGAGGGACCGAGGGACTGACAGGCAGATGGTCGGCGCGAACCCGAGAGGACCCGCGGCGGAGGCTGAGCCCGGAGAGCCGCCGAGGAAGAGAAACTAACTGCACACCAAGTTGCCCCGCCGGCTTCCCCTCGCTGCGCTGAGGAATGAAACCTTTCCAGCTCGATTTGCTCTTCCTCTGCTTCTTCCTTTTCAGTCAAGGTAGGACCCTTGCGCCGCCGGAGTTGGAGCGAAGTCGGCCGGGTTGTCAGGGCGCGGGAGGCAGAGGGCAGGAACGCGGGCAGCTTCGGAAACTCGGGCTGATTGATGCGTCTCTCGGTGCCGGCGGAGAGGCACTGCAGTTTGCTGCTTTGCCTTTGCAAATGCAACAAAATGGTACTGTTTGTTTTCCTTTGGAAGGAAGGGGCTGGTAGGGCAGGGGAGGGAGGTGATTTTCTCCTCTCACTTGTCAACATCCAACTCCAACTCTCCAATGCAAATGAGTTCTTTCGGTTGCCGGTATGTTAATTAGGTAGTAGGTCCTTGTCCACGCAATATTGAACTTCTGGGCAACCTCCTCTCTTTCACTCCCAGGTTGGGGGAAAGAGGGGCAGGGAAAGGGAAGCTTGCTTGGGTGGCTGTTTTGACTCCAGTAAGGTCTAACTTGCCTGAGTGTGCAACAGGAAATACGTCCCTTTGCACAGTTGCAGAGGGGGTTGCAATAAAGGCTGCGTTTGTGGGGGTAATCTGCGGTGGTCAGGGGAAGCTTGTAGAATTTCATTGAAAGTTGTGGAGTTCTGAATTGTGAAACCTACACAGCCCTGGGTTCGCGCCTGGTGCCCATTGTTTCCTTTCTACAGCCGAGAGGGGTGGAAAGGGGGTGACTTTCTCAGGAAGAACTTTCCCACCTCTGGGCTCCGTGCCACCCCGAGCTGTGGGCTGACCACGGTGGCAGGAGGGGGAGGGAAGTTCTGGAGAGGGGCTACAAGTGTTTACTCAGCCAAAAGCCCTGAAAGTTACCTGTGGAATTGAGGTTGAAGGGGAAAGCGAATTGGTTGCATCCCACTCTTTGGAACGCCAGTGCTGCCTCTGCCATCTGGCATTTGTGCCAGCCAGCACAGCTCTGAGAGGGACAGGACTCTCTCAGAAAAATCCACAACAGAACACATCCATCTGTTGATTAAATGAAGGGTAAAAGTTTTCGAGAAAGCAGAGCATCAGCATGGGTGGCTGCCTCCACAAGCAAACAGCATGTATTCCTCGCTTCCCTTGTCAAGAAGAAGCCAAATGTAAGCAAACACCCAGCCTCCTACCTCCACTCTTCCACTGATCCTCTTGGTCACTGCAGATTTGCTCCTTATTTGTGCAGTTCAAACTTTGCTATTGACCCTCCTGATTAAACTTGAGTGGCCCCTCCCCAGTGTGAGTGTGTGTCCACCCATGTCTGTGCATGATGATAGCGTGTACACATACTCACACACTCGTGTCTTCATATGGCTGTGTGTGTCTCACCAGGGCTCCCTACGGCAGCAGGAAGATAAATTGCCTTCCCCAGAGTTTTCAGGCTGAATGAATAAGAGCTATCCCAGAACACTAGCATGGAGACAGGTTCTGTTATATCACCATTTTGTAAGATTAAGCTTTCTTGGATGTGTGCGTACCTGCTTATAGGCACACACGCACGCACATAGGTATACTCACTCCCATTCTCCTTTGCCTATTATCAATTCCCTCAGAAAGTTGCGTGTAGAGTCCCTGAGAGGAGGAGGGAATCTTCCAACTATTCTCCCCACCCTTGCCTCACACACATACATTTGCATGAGACTAGTGTAAGTTTTAATCAGCTCTTTGTGTATTTAGAAGCCTTATATATGATTCTTTTTAAGATTGGCATAAGAAGCCTATGGGCATCTAAGCGCCACTCTGCCTCTCAGAATCATTACCCCGTGCGTCTTTCACTTTGTTTTGTCCTCTATGAGTACCAAACTATTTCTTGATTGCCTCATATGAATCTTTAAATATTTACCTCCAGAGGTTCAGTGTTGTATTTCATAGGACACTAGGAAGAAACCACAGCTCATATTATTCTCAGTGCTTTGTTATTCCTGAGTGTTCTGAGCTTGGCCAGAACTACCACCATACCAAGAAGTGACACATAGTTTATTGGACTCCAAAACAGACCTCCAGACTCTGTGTCCAAAATTGACATTTCCCGTCAGGGAGAACTCTTTCACTGCACACTGTAGGTCCCTTGAATAGACAGCACCTAACTGTAGTAATTAAAGCTCAGGAAAGAAGATGTTTGTTGGCTTCATTGCAGTGTGATATGCATATGTTTTGACTGGATCTGTGGGCATTTAAAAAAAATGTAGTTGTTGTTTGGAGTATTGTGAATTCCCCGGAGATTTTATTTGATGCTCTTTGCCCATATGCTTAGTTCAAATACTGGGGCCCACCCCACCCAGTGCCATGCATCCCTCAAGTGATTGGATAGAGTGTATCTACTTGGAAGTGGTCGCTAGATGACCAGTGCATGTAGCTCTAGATGGTCTTCACCACAGAGAACTGAAGATGCAGCCCCACCTGTCACCCCGCAGCCCGGAGAGCCCCCTGCCTGACCAGCCCCCAGCATGCAGCTCCTCCCATAATGCTTTTCCAAGGAAATGTGCACGGTTCAGGTGCGCCCTTCCTGCAGAGAGAACAAGTGTCCAGGTTGTTTTTAGGGTCATATCTGGCCCTCCTGTGACACGGCCATCTGCTGTCAACCACCTCTTCTAGTGGGAAGCTGCATGTCACTTTGGAGTTTTGTGCACGTCGTTCTCGGTCTCCCCTCTCCCAGTATCTCCCTATGAAGAGGGTGTGAGTGCTCTAGTGTTCTGAGGCGTTTACCAGAAAACCTGTAGATAAACTCTAAAGTCCATTTCAATCATGCTTTCTCTCTTGATTGTCTGTTTGCTGATCTTTGCTTTTTCCAAAACCTTTTAGAGAGAGAGCAGAAATCAACATATAATTAAAGTCAGTGTCCTTACTCTTTAAAGTTTGGGCTTTTCGTGCAGATTAAGATCAAATATCTCTTTATTGTTCTTAAGGTGGCCGTAGAAAAGCTAAGTGACATTCCTCTGTTCCCACCCCTGCCAACACTGACCCTGTGCTTGGCTGGCAGTGGGGGAATGGAGAACTGCCAGTGTGTGCTGCTCATGGGTTTCTCTCTTGCTGGGGATGCCTCTTCCCTCAGCTGTCAGGATGGTCGTGCTTTGTACAGAAAGGGATAATGTCACAGCACAATTTGCCTCCTGCAGAGATACGGCATGTTCTGCCCCTGGGTGAAGAAGAATTGATTCTCTTGTCATCCATAAACTTAGAACTTGCAGTATTTTCCCCTTTATCATTTTAGTTCACCCAAAAGTATTTCCTCCCTTGCCCTTCTTAATCTTCAAGCCTCGTCCCGATATAGGACCTCCAATTGATATAGGGGAAATAAAAGTCCCAACCTGCTAGATGTCAGATACACCAAATTTACGTTCCCCAAAATTGAAGAATGAATTCCAAGGAACAACAGAGGTTAAGAGTAGGAAATATTTATTGAGAGACAACTCCTGAGAGACAGCAGAGGACCTAAAAGTGGGTTACCAATGGGTCCACTTCTCAATGGAAGTTTTTAGGGCAAAATCACGAGGTGGGTACAAAATCACAAGGTGAGTACACTGTGGGACAAAACTATGATCAACCAATAAGATTACAAGCATGGTCACTTAGGTAATATTGATCCAGTGGGGAAGCAGGTCACATAGAAAGTGTATACGGAAAGAATAAGGACCTTTTTTGGAAGAGATGGGTCAGGAACTCCTGGTCATCCACCTGTGTGACTGATGCTTATCTAGACTTTATTGGGCCAGGCAATACTAATTATAGTATACTGCCTGTCCCTTGGGAAGCCATGTAGGATTGGTCATTGCATCTTTATCTTGAGGCCTGTACTTCAGTGGGTGCGCCTCCAGCCACAGTTGTAATGTATTCTCATCTTCTACACTGACTTCCTCAAGGGCCTACCCCTGTCTAACTGCCTATAATATTTCCACCGAGCTTAGCTGTCTGTGATAATCCCCAGGAGCCAGCACACGCACATCTGCGGTGGCTTTGGAGGAATAAGGGCTCAGCAGGACTGACGACTCCCTGATTCCCAGCATGTCTCAAGTTCCAAGACATTTGTGGTTGTGTAACAGAACAGACTTGGTGGCTTCCACTTCAGACTCTAACAAAGGTGCTTGCCTTGCTCTGTGATACTCTGTTCTGGCATTCCCAGAGCATCCAGTCCTGCCTAGTGGCTTTGAGATCCAGAAGGCTTTAATTGTGCTGAAACCAGGTGTCTCGTTGGCTTTGTACGTGTGTCATACTGCTCTAAACATGGGGGAATGAAAGTGAAAACTTGCATTTACCTGTTAATGACATAGCTGAGTGAAGGATTAATCTGGGAACCATCTCCTTATTGGGAGGAATCTTGGTGGCCCATTTGCACTCTTGGTTGGCAGGAGACAGCAAAGAGGGAATCAAATGGCAAGAGTCATGGCAACCTGAATCTCCAAGGGAATAGCAGCATCAAGCAACCAGCAAGGTGAGCAGTGTGAGTGGGAAGAGCTGATCAGGGTGCAGAGAGCCAGGGGGAGGACAGGAAGCACGGAAAGGATAGTCACTGGAAAGGCTTGAGCTTGCCCAGATCTCTCTTGGGGAGGAAAGGGAATGAGGTGCATCAGTATACAGCATGAATACATTAGAGGAGCCCAAGAATGAAGGAGATGGAAGGGGGTTCAGGCAGAAAAGGAAATTGGGAGTGCGCAGCAACTTCTGAGAAATATTTAACATTACCCAGAAATGTCATCTAACAAAGCTGAGAGGTGTAGTGTGTTTCTCCCAGCCACCAGCAACCCAAGCAGTATGACATCTCATCTAGGGGAGGAAGAATCACTTCTTTTGTCCCTGAAGGTCATTGCACAGCTGCTAAGGGTGTGGGACTGTCTCTTTAACAAAGCTTATGGGTGGGGGACCAGGATATGCCTCTTGGGCATGGGCGTGTGGCAGAGTCTGCTGCCCAACAGGGAGCCCTCCTTTGCCAGCCAGACCTATTGTGGATGAAAAAGAAACACTCCAGGGTATGGGGGTGTGGGTGTGGTCAATGCCTTCACACCACACTGAGAGGCTCCCATGGACCCCCGCCTTGGGTGTAA